TCGATTTATTCTTTACATAGTCTCTTCATTTGAGTTCTTTTTCCATTTCATTTCAATTCTTATTTTTCATTTTTCCTATAGATAAACTAAGCTATATAATGGTTCTGAACAATAATTATCATCCAGATATAGATTTCAATAGATCTCGCTAAAAGAGCTTTTTGACTCAAACTCAAAGATCGATTCAAAGATTCTATAATAAAATGTATGTTAAAAGAATGTATTGAAGGTATTTTTAATATCATTTATAGCTTCAGTTAGTAACATCATCTAAAATATGCGTAAGACAAAGCTGTCTACTACTGTCTGTTTTTCCACTCAGATCTTCTACACCATGCGACAGAGTTTGATACCAGTTGCAATGTAATTTAAATATGTTTTATGGAAGATTTGTACGTACAATACACTTTTGTATGAGTAAATGAATTTAATGTTTTGTGATAACAATACTCCGCGTGTAACTTATTGTCGCTAGTGGCAAGTAATCGAGCTTAGTTTTTATAATTTATATACTAGCATACTCTATTTTAACTTGTGGCTGTCATTTCCTCTGTTAAAATATCATGATTTTGAAAAACATGAGTAATTAAAAAACTATGTAAATTCCTTACATTTTTCATTTTTCCATTAGCAATAGTACTAATAAAATGATGTTACTTCATCTTCAGACCTTATTCTCCATATACGACTGGTCCATAAATCCGACCATCATTATTGTCTTGCTTAAAAATTTTCCGATTTCAACATACGAAATAATTTTAGTTCACCAAAATAGCTAGTCACGCGTTAAATCTCCTTCAAAGACGAGGCTTCAAGCTCGAATAGTCGCCGAAATATTAATAATACGCGCCCACAGTGAGTTCAGGTGAGAGCAGGCTCGCGGGATCGCCGCCTCTTTAATAAACATGAGGCGCAGGCTGGGCCGCTAATAATAAATGAGCCATCGGACGGCCCGCTCCGGCACGTTCGAATTTCGAACACCCGACTCGGGAAATGCTCAAAACAGGGGGACCTTTGTTATTATATCTGTATTTATCTCCAAGGACCTCGCTCGATAGGAGCGTTCTGTATCTATGGTCAATCTACGTTATGTTGATCTTTGAAGGTCAGACAATGTTTATTAAGCATTTAGCTTTACCAGCGTGATGACGTTTAATGTGTTCGAGTCATTGACACCTATTTGCATTACAATCAACACAGAGCTAAGAAACATGAAGTTTTCAAGCTATTTACGTAGCTAAGCATATAGTTTGCTTCGTAATTTCATTAATATAGCATATCTTGAAGAACTAGACTAGTTAGTAGTACATGATCGTTTGGAATGCCTCCAAACTAGAATTATTTATATAAAATAAAAAAATCCAAGATTCATATAAAATTATGCTTAAAATTGACCCGAATTAAAATAGGTAAAATAAAGGGATTAATTTGTACATATTTTATAGGATAGGAACATTTTGCGTATGTATAGTAATATCTATATAAAAGCAATATCTATACTATAACTTTATAACGAGCGATAGTCTTTGAACTCAGAAACAGATAAGTGAACGTCAGAAAGCGGCACCGCAAACTTCGCAAGGCGCTAAACCGGTGTTAGTAGTTGGTAGTCTAGTCATCGCATCCATGATCAATGAGTGTGCGCATTGCATCGGGCCAACCGTCGAATTGTGTTTAATCTCTTTAGATGCTATGCGAGCCTGGTACTGCGGTGGCACAGATCACCTGTTCTTTGATCCCTTTTGTAGCAGCACTCTCTCGACATACACTTTCGTAACGATTGACTGTTGCTTTGATACTGATCATCTTCGTAACTTCTATGATATTTAAATAGGTAGTAGGCGTATATCATATACGTAAACTACGTAATAAATAATTTTATGCATTTATGTGTGAAAAATAAATTATTAATTAGAGGCAGTAGAATTAGATTATTTCTGTAGGCATTTACAGTTTTCTAATAGTCGAATCTCTAGTATAGTCATGTTTGCTTAGTATTTCAGTCAGCGAAATCACCTGTTCTTTCTTCTTGTGGTGGTGGTGGTGATTGCGCGTGTATGTATGTATGGTTTTTTTTATTTACTTTACTGCACTGGCGTTTATCTTATTTTATCATTTTTCATTCGTTTTATCATAAATGCTTACGAATGCCTCTATTTGGAGATTGACCGTCAGTTTCACGAAATTATCTGTTTAATTTGCCCGCAATATTATTATTGTTGTTACCAGTTGGAATAAGTTTACTGGCAATTTACGCACAAGACTAACGATGATATCACTCTTGAGAGTTCTTAACTTTCAAGACCAAGGACGAGAATCCTCTAGAACGAGAAATCCAAACACTTTATTTACTAGGGCAAATAAAGGATTTGAATCTCGTATACATTAAATGCTGTAAATCATTTCGAGCAATTAAAATAGGCCTGTTGCGAAATAACCTAAGTCGTAAATTATCGAAAATAAGGATAGAAAAAACAATGATTAAAATCTAAAGATTTTTAAAAATCTTTTACAAATATTTTTATAATCTAAAGGGAGAAAATAACAATTTATTTTATTTACCTATATTCTATTACTAATATTATAAATGGGAAAGATTCGATTGTTTGTTTGTTTAAACCATTTAACCGATTTAAAAAATTCTTTAACCTATAGAAAGCTACATTATCAGTTACTTTTGCACCAAAAATAAACAATTTAATAAAAAAATAGATTACATATATTTTCGAAAATTTTATCTAGCCATGTGAAGCCGAGCCCAATCGCCTGTAACTATATTATAAACTGGTTTCCCGCCTTAGCCTCGTATGGGTGTACTAATGACGAAAATGAAACCAAATCTACATTACAATCATTCGTCATTTTTTTTTGTAAACTAAGTACATAAAAAATTGTTTTAATAAAAGTGTATGTATAAAATCTAAAAAAATATATTTTTTGTTAAATCTGGCATTGGTCCGAGCATTCTATATACTGGAAATTCTTGAAGTCATCTTATATTTGTCTCATAAAACCATATTGATGATTATTCTTGTTCCATCATTCATCATTTCAGCTGTTAACTATCCACTGCTGAAGATAAGCCTTCCCCATAAGGAGAGTTTTGCCATTAGTTACCACGCTTGGCAGGCGGATTGGCAATCGCAGTTAGGACGTTGGGGATGTTTTAAGGGGAACGCTGCTACCCATCCCTCGATATTAAGTTCCCTTAGTCGCCTCTTACGACACCCACGGAAAAGTAATGAGTGGCCCATTCAATACCGGGACCGATACGGCGAACACTTCTTATTCCATGCCCCCGTAATATTTATAACTAGCGACCCGCCCCGTCTTCGCACCGGTGCAATATTTGTTTGTGTAACTTTTAAACTGTTCAACACATTTTAGTAAGGCTGGTATTTTGGCGTGTGTAAAAGTACTGCACTAATATTCTCTAAGATATATTGATTATTATAATGAAACAGCTTTTAAAATATATTTAACTTTTTACATGAAAACCATCTTTTTGGCTGAGATATTAAACTTAGATATACGGTGTCGCTGAATTTTTGTAAAGCTAAAAGTAATGAATATATTTGCTATAAATTTTATTCCTTTATTTGAAACCGTTCAAGCAGCGTACGCCATATTATAGAATCTTTGTCGACTTCAATTACATTTATTGTTATTAATTATTAAAAATAAAGATTTACCAAAATAACAAGTAGTCTATAGTAATCAGGGATAATATACCTTTCTAACAGTGAAAGAATTTTCAAAATCGTATCAGCAGCACCGGAGATTACCCTGAACATCCAAACTCACAAACTTTACCTCTTTATAGTATTAGTATAAATTAGTTCATTATTTGGTTTAAAGCAATGAAATTACGACATCTGCAAAATAAATACCTCCAATATACTGAAAATTTTTAAAACTTTTTCAAGACAATGCATACGATACTTGCAAAAAAATTGCAAATGTTTTGGATAAATCTGTGAGTCTTGCAGCACGTTATTATAATATCTGCTTCACCTCATTTGTAATTCTTTTATGCAGACTGTTTAAGATGTTCTCACGGTATTTTACTACCTAACACGGTTAGGGTGGGGGGTAGGGATGTTAGTAATACCCACTACCAGTCCCATTGCTAGCAATATGTCCAATAAGCAATCCTATGTCAAGTCAACCTCCACATGGTCCCTCCTGGAAACCGTCCTGCTGAATTCCAAATGTATTTATCACGATGGGTAACTGAGCTGCCTTTTCATTCTCGCCTATCATTCCTCACTGGTGCCCCACCAGCGTATACCGATACGCAGACGGAGCTATCATTATCATTCATAAAAAAAAAAACACGGTTGTGGTATTAAGCAGTGTTGTCTCAGACAGTGCTCAACATTTTTGAAAACTTAAAAAACTTTTAGTCTGTAATATGAGATCGTGCAATGACGTAAAACATGTCGGCTGACATCATTGTGAAAGTAACCATGATTAAATCAAAGGTAAATCCGTAGTTTTATTTTTATATCACAAAGATGCCAAACAAGCATATAGCCCGTCTGATGGTAAACGGTCACTGTAGTTTATGGACGCCTGCAATACTAGAGATGTCAAGTGCGTGTTACCAACCCTGAAGATTCGGGGGGAAAGGGATTGTTAGTAATGGAGACTGAGAATCCTATTGCCAGCAATATACTCAACCAGGTCGATCTCCTCGTGGTTCTCCCTGGAAAATATCGTGGTTAATTCCTGATGAATTCACCATGATAGGCTAACTGGCCTATTTTCATTCTCATCGATCACCCTTCACTGGTGCTTCGCCAACGTATCCCGTTAGCGCAGGCGGGGTTACCATACCATTTTCACCCATAAAAAAAAGCCCTGAAGATTCCCATACTGTAGTTTCTTTTTGATGTTAAACATTTAAAAAACAAATTGTTACGTCTTATTATGTAACTATGTTTTTGGCAAATAAATTATTATTATCATAAGTTTATAAAATTCGAAAAATATCTTACCTTCAGAGGAGGAGTTGGTATATACAAAGGCGGATCATTCTGTGATCCAGTGTAAATCTCCTGACCATCTGGGCCTTTTGCACAACCGTCTGCATCCAATACGCTGTATCTGCAGACTATACCATCGGCAGGCTTGGCTTCATATCCTGGGGGCTTTCCAACATGAAATCCCTTCGCCTTGACCCAGAAACGGAATTTGGAACTGTCAGAACTGTTGCATTCTTCCCCACGCAACGTGCGCAAGATCCTGGCGTACTTTTTCAATGTTATAGTCTTTGTCTTGGCCAAATCTCCGTATGTCTGTATCACCCACGGTTGATATGTGGAGAACAAATCAAGTTTTGGATCGCCAGTCTGGATTTTGGGCCTCTTATTATTGTTCTGCTCGTTTTTCTTATCATTCTTAGAACAGCTAGCAGTCGACTTTCGTTTTGACGGCTTCTTAGGCGTCTTTTCTGGTATGGCTTCCTGAGTTAATTTCTTTCGAAGTCCACGATCAGTTATCATGGCAGCCGCCATTTTGATTTTTATCACTACACTAAACTCTTTACTTAAAAACTGTCACATCTCATTATAATTCTATAATTAGTTCCCGACGCTAAGAACAATAATTTCATCATTTACCCGGTACTCTTTTGTCTTTGACTAGGAACGCTTTTGAACTGTACGTTCGGGGGAATTGCTCAGGGATTGTTTTCAAGAAAAGTTACGAAACTGAAAAGTTGGGAGTCTCGCGTGCGTACAACTTTGTGAACGCGAACTTTCCACTGCGAAGTTCGCACCGTCCTAAAGGACTTTCTTCCACGAGGGAAACTTTTCGCAGCGACGGAGTGGCGATGGTGGCGGGGAGTTATATCTACAACCTGGAGGATTGTCGTTCGCCGTTTTGTTCTATTATTACTGATTACAGCATTTCTCTTTCTGGATGACTGATTACTGAAATATACTATATTTTGTTTATTTATTATTATTTGAATTGGATATTTTGTATTTAATTATAAATAGTACATATAAATTACAAAGGTATTGTGTGATGTGTAAAGGAAACCTCCAAATTATCCATAAAATTGCAGCTGATTTGGCTTCAAAGGATTTTATAAATTTCCGACGGCTGACGCTAACAGGTGTCAGATGCAAACTTGGACCAAGTTTACCAAGAGGTAAAGAAAAATATTTCTTAAAAAAATGGATGATCAAAAACAAAAAGTACCAGGTGTGGAGAGGTCAGCGGCAGGTAAAACAGAAATTAATCAAACTCGAAGTGTCCCGTACGTAGTTTGAATCGTCTCAAGATTGGCGCGATACACACAAATCGTATACGACCGCTCGCGTAGCGCGCGCGCGGTGTACTGGAACTGGCGGCGCGTTCGGTCGGTTCGGTTTGATTGTGTGTGGGACGGACGCGGTGGCGGGCCGGCGAGCTAGCGGCACGTGCGGCGGGACGGGCCCAAACGCTAATTGCCCGCAAAACAATCGGGCCGATCGTCGGCCGCAGGGGCACCGCGATAATGCTCGCACTTGCCCGTCCTTCTAGATAACGTGAGTGCGGCTGTTCTATTCCATAGCGAGCCAGCGGTCATCCAATATTAGTCTAGTTACGTCCACCAACAATATATTATTAGTGTTAGACTTGCGATATATACCTATTTGAAATTAATTCATTGTTAGATTAAGTAAATCATTACATATAATTTAATCTTTCAAAAGTCGAGGCAGCGTTTTTAAAAAGTAATGGTAATTAATATTAATGTTATGATCTAAGAGTATAATAAGAATTTAAAAGTATTAACAATTATTTTTCATTAAATATTTTTTTTTCTATCGATAAGAAATAAATGTTGTTATTAGAAATGCGTTATTAAACGGTTTATTTAGAAAAAAAAAACAGCATTTCCATATTTCTAAACTGTAAATTAAAAAAACTTCGCTCATGCCAACATAAATATATTTTGAAAAAAAAAATCTACTATAACGACCTTATTAAAATTTTTACTTTTTTGATCTTACATCATTTGCCCTTTCGTGGAGTGTGCCAATGCAGAAATCAGTGTTTTGGAAAAAATGAAAATGCAAACAATGAGATCATACAATTTAACTTATGCCCGCCTTGTTACCTACCTACCTACATACTTTACCAATTTCTCTCTCTCGTTATTTCGCTCTCCCGTTAATTCTTTTACATGCCCATGCCAAAATCTTTGTTTTGGAAAATTATCATCATAACCTTTAAGAAAAGAGCATATTCCTTTTTAAAATGCCAGCAGCACCCCTGCGATGCCTCTGGTGTTGCGGGTGATCATGGGCGGCGGTGGTCACTTACAATCAGTTGAATGCTTGTTTACCCCCCATTATAAAAAAAAAAAATTAAAACAACGTTCTCTTGCAACTTAATCTACATTTGCTTTTTTAGTAGAAAATATTATAATAAAGATTTCGCTTATTTTCGCCTTACACAATTTGTTGTTTCGTTAATTTTTATATACGCCAATATCAAAACAGGAGTTTTGGAAAAACTAGAAATATATAACTTACGTCCGCTTTCTACTCTAATTGTTTTCATTTTTATTTTCGCTTTTTCAACTTATACTCTTTACTCTGATGGTAATTACTTTTGGTTAATAACAGTTTGTTGAATTTTTTATTCACAACTTAAGATTCATTTATTTATTTATATGTTTTTGTACATTCACTTTAGGGTACAGAGGAATAACACCTGAGTCGTCAGGAATGATAACGCATGGGGGGTATCATGGGTGAAACAGTATACTCTGTTATGTCCATGGTACTACTCATGTCTACAGGCGACGGTTACCACGTTCCATCAGATGGTGCGTCAGCTTGTTTGCCATTCTAAGTTGCATAAAAAAAAATCTTTTTCCTCTTTATATTAATTAGTATAGAAAAAAGGAGGTCTCTATTCGGTTGGATTTTTTTATGTTTGTTACCTCATTATTCTGTCAACTGTAAAGTGATTTGGAAATTTCTTTTTTTTATATGAAAGGATATACTTATAAATTTGTCCCATAGAAAATTTATCAATATTGATTCAGTAGTTTAGTTTTTAAATTAAACTAACTTATATCCAAAATTAAAATAGTTTTTTTTTTTGTAGAACACAATTTAATTAACTTATTTATACTTATATTTTAGCAATAAATAAAAAGAAAATGATGGAATGTGTAAGTACCCAAGTAAGAGTTCCTGAGTTTTAAAAATGTTTAAACCATAATTTTGTTTTGTCGTATAGTCGGGCAGAGCACGACCGAGCACGATTTTGATGCGCACGCGCCGATGTTGTTGCGCGAAATGTGCGCATGTTACTAGGCGCACATACAATAGCAGACAATATAGCTATAGTGCGTCAGTCAGTGTATGCGCATCGAAATACGTCCACGCGCAGACACAGCTGCTATGGGCGTGCATCCGTATCGTGAGCCACGCATGCGATTTTAAAGTGTATTCCTTAGCATTAAAGTTGGTTTTAAAAAGTTTAAAATAAATGTATAAGTTGACAAGCGAAGATAAACGTTTCTTAATGTTATGCGATCCTAGGATGACGATGAACACATTTGTGCTGTGCGGGTGCCATGATGTTCGCGTTCGTCATTCCTGATTGACTCGGTTTGATTTGGAATTGTGGGATCATTAGAATAATCAAACTTTTTCAAAATCATTTATCATTTTAGAACAATTTGTTACTGAAAAGCAAGTCTACTCTTGAATTCAGTGGATTGCCAATGAAATAGGATTTAGGTTAGAAATAGAATCGGTTTGCAATAGTTTGCATTGTCAAGTTACACTAGTATGCATCTATCATAACAATATGGCACCACTATGTCGCTAGTATTGCAATTTGAGAGTGTTAAACGTCTCAATTCTATTATACTAACATAAGACTTGTGCTTTTGATATCTATATTATAAACAGGAAAGATTTTTATGACATATATATATATATCTATATATATTATAAACTATTATTATAATTATATTATAGACAATATGACAAAGATATGAAGGTTGTCGCATTAAAACATAGCGACAGAAGCAATGGAAAAAAAAACGAGGAAAGATTTCATATTTTGTTTGTTTATTTGTTTGTAATAGATAAAGTACACAACCGATTTTAAAAATTCTTTCAACTATAGAAAGCTGCACTATCAGCGAGTAATATATGCCTATTATATAAAAAAAAAATTGAGTATCTATGAAAATTACAATAATGTAACCCAAGGTTTAAAAATGTTACCTGATAAAGCTAATACCTGCTAATAATACAAAGTACTAATTTATCTTTCTATCTACATATTTATATTATCTGTGATATTGTGAAAAGCCAAGACGTTAGTAGTATACAGAGCCACGGAACTTTAGATTTTGGACATATAGTAATTTATTGAAAAACTGGAAAAGGAGGGTATTACATTTACAGAGAATAACATAATACCTAAGCGAGGGGATAGGGATTGTTAGTAAAGCTGCCTGACTGCCCCATTGCTAGCGATGTACCTATCCTATCAGGTCGACCTCCACGCGGTTTCCCCTGGAAACCATCTTGGTTAATTGTTGACGAATTCGTCACGATGTACCAACTAACCTGTTTCATTCTCACTTATCATCATTCACTGGTGATCCGCCAGTGTATACCGCTAGTGCAGACGAGGTTACCATTTTATTATTACTTATTAAAAAATTCATCAATTAATTTCAATTTTAGAAATAGATTTTAAGAAATGAAATCTTAGAATCAACCCACTGTAATTCTCCTTTTGCACGGCCAATTGAAAAAAGTTACCTTCAACAAAACAAAATAAAGCATTAGATAGGTTTTTTTTAATGGGTGATAATAAAATGGTAACCCCACCCGCGCTATCGGTATACGCGGAACATCAATAGGTGAGGATAAAACAGGTCAGTTAGCCCATCGTGACGAATTCAACAAAAATTGTTCACGATGGTTTCCAGGGGGAACGTGGAGGTCGACCTAATAGAGCATATTGCCAACAATGGGACTGTCAAACTCCATTGCCAACAATCCCTTTCCCCTAGTCGTATTTAGGATCATTTAGGATATTTTACTGGAATTTCTGTTGAATTTCGAAATTTTTAATTTTATTATTTTAAAAAATGATTTACATATACTTTCAATTATACAAAATCTTTTACATTAATCGTTCTCATATATGTGCCCGTAATGATACTATTAATATCACAATAATAATATAATAAATTACAATTATAATATCTAAATAGGTTTTACAGTAAATCTAAATCTATAACAAATAAATAATGTCTAAAATAATTATTTAAATTAATTATTTTACTATCGTAAAATTGTATGTAAACACACGCAGTACAGTACAAATACAATTTACATACTTGACATAAACACGAAAGAACTATGATCGTATACATGTATACTACGGCGATCATGCAGCTACGTTACATTTATGTTGCCCTAGTTACTGTGAACAAAATAGCCGTATGTGCACGGGGTTTCTTTCTATTCTAAACAAACCAAGATGAAATAAATAAATGCACGAAGGAAACTCAGAAGTAATTAATTTTATATGGAGCATAAAGCATCTGAACACACATAATAAAACAAAAAAAAAAAAAAAAAAAATTAAATAAAAATAATTCGAAAAATTAAAGAATTTATGGACCCTGTCAAAGCTTTTCAACTGATTTCAAAAAACGAAGAGGATCTTAGATTCAGTTATATTTTGTTTGTTTGTTCACTACCTCATTAATAAACGGATTAGGAAATTTATTTTTTTACCTGAAAGTTTACTTTCAGATTAGTTCAATGGAAATTTTATCAAAATCAATTAAGAAATTAATTTTTAAAGATTATTTATACTACTATTGAAGTACAGAATTTTTAATTATTCTTATTTGAAAATGGTGCTGAATTATATTGACCTTTTTTAAAAAAAATATAGCCAGTGTCGCTTGATATAAGTATACTAACTATTCCCCATGCGAGTACATCCTAATATGTTCTAGTTTATCAGGTTAATTTGTAGTTAAGGTAGAATAAAGAAACACATACGAACACTGAAAGCATTAAGTACAACTTGTTTAACCAAATATAAATAATCGTACGTACAATAAAAAAATTATAAATTATATTTTTATTATAAAAAAGATTTTTAAAAGAACAAAGATTTTTAAGACAAAAATAAAATTTCGAAATTCGAAATAATTCTTCCACTCTCTCTGTACGCGAACAAGGAAATATTCAAATATCGATCCATTTTGGTAAACATTTGGATGTTTTTCTCTGAAACCTTGTTTCAGCTGTGCTTTCATGATCTTGTTAAGGACGATTTCAAACAAAAACACGCACTCTGGATTTGTCCTCAATGTTCCTCTCGTTATAAGTT